TCTGTTTATTGTTCTTTCCCCCCCCCCCCCCTTTTAATTTAAATTAGGTAATTGCTCTGAGGCTATAAACTTTTATCTTCATCACAGGAAGTCCTAGTTTGCATTAATTACCTTGAATTGAAGCAGTGAGGCAACGGAGTTTTAGCTGTCTTTAGGGTGAACTTGAGGTTGAGCTGAAGTTTTCCTCGGGGTTGTTCTTAATCCATATTAAAATATCCTTTTTTGCACTGTAAACATTTCATATGTTTAGATTTCATACACTCGACAGAGCTCCTTGCACTCTGGTGCTCTTAATCTCTTCTTTGGTTGCTACCATAGTATGAATGATTTGAATGGAACGAGTTGTTGATTCTTGCATGAAGTCTATACCAGCTTGCAAATATCAAGTCACTGTGCTGCATATGCAAACACCTCCATCCAATAAACAGAATAATGGTTACATTCATCCTAACCATTGTAATGCTTGGATTGATTATATTAAATGGAGACAATAGGACTTTAAATGTTTGCTCAGCAGATCTTTGAATGTCTCTTTCAGGAAGCAAGAAGAAGGAAAAGGAAAGGCCAGAAATCTCCCCACCATCAGATTTTGAGCATACCATCCATGTTGGCTTTGATGCTGTTACTGGAGAGTTCACTGTAAGTATACTTGCCTTGAAGTTTCTCAGAAAACAGCCGTGGGTCAGTGCTGTAGTGAAGCCACTGGTGGTGTTTTAGAATAACAGGCGACTTAGTCTGCTTTTATCAAAGAAATAACTTTACTGTGTATTTGTACAGCATGCAGAGTAATGAGACTGTGACCTGTTAGTACTTCTGAGCTGTAAAGGTCAGATCTGATCCTTTGTGTCAGGTGGGAGAGCCTTTCCTGAGAAACCCGCTTCAGTTTACTTTCAGTAATGGTTCTGGTTCTGCTGAGCGCTTTTGTATTCCCATTACTCACATCTGGCTTAATACACTTGAAAGAGGTGGTGTCATGTTGGCACAGTGATTTGTGTTGTCACCTATGGACATATGGCTCCATATTAAAACCCCATTCTACTTGTTCATGTGTTTAGGGCTGTATGTGTTCTTCTTTTTATAGAGGAAAGAAATTTGTTGTGCTTTAAAAAAAAAAAAATTAAAATACTAGAAGGATGCTTAAAATAGCCTATTTTTTTAGGGAATGCCAGAGCAATGGGCTCGGTTGCTTCAGACCTCAAATATCACAAAGCTAGAACAGAAGAAAAACCCCCAGGCGGTACTAGATGTGCTGAAATTCTACGACTCCAAAGACACAGCAAAACAGAAGTATCTGAGTTTTTCTGCTCCAGGTGAGTGCTCCAGGTTTGTGCAGGACACACTGAAGAGAAGTTGGGTATTTGGAACACAGTCTTCCTCTCTTTCAGAATAATAAATCAGATTCAAATGCTGAAAGAGCAGGCTACTTTTCAATGAGGAACAGATATTTGAAGATGGATTTAAAACTTACTGGAAACTGCATTGTCCAGTTAATTTCCTGTTTTAAGTGGAGAAGGGAAGAAATGGAACTGGGTAATTCAAAATAGCAGCCAAAATTAGCGGGCTGTTTTTATGAAGCTGGGGCTCCGAGACTGTGATTAATTGGTTTCGTGCTGGAGACCTTGCTCCTCCTGTCTGTGGCTGAAACAGCTATCTGTGAACTTCGTGTCAACACGTGATGACATCAGAGATGCAAAATAAGTTGTGGCTTCTAGATTGGGAGCTATGTGGGAGGGCTGAGAGAATGGCTGTCCTACAGATGCAGTTTTACCTGGGTTTCTTCCAAATTATTTCTGAAATTAGCTTAGTAGTAAGGCTTTGTGATATACTCATCCTTGATTGAAGATACCGCTAAGGGAACAGAAATATCCATTTCATCCTGATTTCACATCCCAGTAATGCAGAGCACATATGTGTGACGAGCAGTGCTCAATTTGGAAAACTCTGTGTGGGTACTGAAGTGACATGAAGAGCAAATTGGGAAATGAGTGGGTTTGCCTACCCTTAGGGGAGAATTTTAGAAGCTTAGAGCTTCCTTCTGCATGGTCGTACAGCGCAATACTGATTTCTCTCATTTTTGACCATGAAATTTTGCTTTCGGAGAGGCAAAAAAAAAATCTCCAGAGCGGTCTGTGTTCTTTACTCTGTAAAGTTCGCTTTTTATTATTTTTCTGATGATTTTATGTATTCTGCTATTTGTCCTGTTTAGAAAAAGATGGTTTCCCTTCAGGAACACCAACGGTGAGTGTGTTTACTATTCTTTGTATCTTCTTAGACGCATACAATTTCAGGTCTTCTGTATTTGTTATATACTGAATCTTGCAGTATAAAACAAAATGAGAATTTTTTTTTGTGGAATAAAAAGATGAATTGGTGGGTCAACAGAGCATATTTCACTGGAGCAATAGTATTTTAGTCTTGCAATAAAATGTAATAGGGCACTTAAACCACTCAACCTGTCCTTTTCTTGTGACATCAGAATTCTTTTATCTTAATGTGGGGGAAAAAAAAAAAGGAAAAAAAAGTAGGTCTTCAATACTGCGGGGGTGAAAATTTTGTTTATTCCATATTTCCTTTTTTGTTATTCCAAAAAAATGTAGACCAATGCCAAAGGTTCAGAGCCATCAACAGCTGTGGTAGATGATGATGAGGATGATGAAGAAGCTCCTCCTCCTGTTATTGCTCCACGGCCAGATCACACAAAATCGGTGAGCAGCTATAAACTTTACAGTGCAAGTAATGGTACAAATGTAGTGCATTTGATTTTCTTTATTTTATTTGATTGTGGTGTGATAGTCTCACCAAACTACCTAACTCCCAATCAGTTAAAATTTAAAATTTGAAAGCTTATTTCATTCACAAAGCCATCAGTGTTACATGAATAGTTAAATGCTTAAGAAGTTGTTTGTTAAGTTTTAGTGTAGTCATCCTGAACTACACACCTTGTTAATAATGTCCCAGGGATCGCACTTACCTGTGCTCATTCTTCTGGCCGTGGTAGGTGTACATTTTGCCACTCTGCCCACTTAGTTTTGTTTCAGGAGCCCAAATGTGAATTGTGTGTGTTCGTCAAGTGATACTGCTTTATAATTGTCCACTCTGGGCATGTAAACGTATCAAACTGTAGACTTGTCACATTTTATATTTCTAGGGTAGCTGTGTTTGTCTGTGAACAGCTCAGGGGGAAATTAAATAAAGCTCCAAGAAAATCCGCAAAGCTGGGTGCAGCTGGGAAATTCCAGGAGTGTCATGCTTCCTTTCGTGGTGAAGCATGAATCTTTTTCCTTCAGATCTTAGTTGATCTTGCAATTAAATAGTGATTTCTTTTCTGTGAAACTTGGAAATTGCAGAAATGAAGTAAATAGAAGAAAGGGCCCCTCTCATTAGCTAGCAGGGGTTATAAAGAATAAGCAGGTAGAAACCCCACAAAAAGTCAGTGAAAGTTAATCTCCTAGCATCCGCTTTGTTCAGGAAGTGCCTGGATCTTTGTTTCAGAGGTCAGTAAGGTTGCCAGCATCTTGACTTACTGGGCTTGAATGTTTCTCAGGTCTAATTTCTGCCTCCAACCTGTTATGTAAAATGGTGCTTAGGGATCTTTGAAGAACTGCAATTGTTTTCAACTGAGGGTCAATGATTGCAGAGAAAATGCTCAGGTAATGATCTCTCCTAACAGATTTATACACGGTCTGTGATTGACCCCATCCCTGCACCAGCCAGTGACACTTCTGTTGACAGTGCGACGAAATCAGGTGATAAGCAGAAAAAGAAGACCAAAATGTCGGATGAAGAGATCATGGAAAAACTACGTAGGTGTTTTTTATTTCAGATAAACAAGGGCTTTAGGACTGGAGGAGGGATATTAAGCTTTTGCCTTCATCCTTATTTTTGTGTAAGGGTTGTGTGAATACTGTGCTTGATTGGTTTTGTGTCAGACAGTAGCTGAGGGAACTGCATTCAGTTTTGCTGATTTATCTGCTTTGGCTGTTCATGCATCAGCCTTTACTGCTTGAGCTCTCCCACTCTTGGAGGTGTCTTGGCCAGGTCAGCCGTACTAAAGGAAGACAGCGGGATAGAGGGAGATCCCAAGAAAAAATACACCAGATATGAAAAAATCGGGCAGGGGTAAGTGTTCATCTCAACTTCTCTTCCCAGTGAGCCAGTGTTACACGCCATGTACTATTCTCTGATGCTGTCATGTACCCACCACGTACTGAAACAGGCAGAAATGTTGGCTGTATTAAGCAGTGATAAACAGACTGTGAAGGCTTTATACAGTGGTGGAAATTTTGAATTCTGTCTTTTAATGCAAAAGCATAGCTCTGTAACTTCTCTGTGGGTGTATCTAGTCCTCTCCTCTCCCGGTAAGATGTGTTCATCCATTTTGTAATATGACTGTTGAATAGCGTGAGGGCACATCAGAAGGTTTTCTGTGTGCTAAGGTAACAATACTGCCTTGACTAAGTTATTCTACTAGTGGTCCTCTGAATCCTTCTGAGAAAAAAATATATGCAAGTTCTAGCTTTTCCAGCTTTGATTATATAAATGCCTAACTTCTACTGTATACTTTCCAAAGAGGTCTGTGTGCATTTGTGGGTGGGCTTCCCTGGGGGGAAAATGAAGAGTAATACCTACTACGGAATGGGCTGCCCAGCTTCTCTGATCATAGGAAGCAACACGAGCTCTGGGGGCTTAGCCATCCTGAATGCAGGAGGCATAGCTGGTGTCAGAAGAGAGTGTACTTGAGAATAGTTTGTTTTGTGTGAACTGACTGGCATTTCTATGATACTGCTTACTTTTAATAGCTGCCTTTTTGATACAGCTCTTACAATATCAAAAGCTGACACGATTTTGTGTTTGTGATTTGTCTGTTCATGTGCATGTTTGTTACACAGGGAAGTGCAACTGGCTTGTAACACTTCTTTTTCTTCACAGGGCTTCAGGTACAGTTTTCACAGCTATTGATGTGGCAACAGGGCAGGAGGTAAGATTTCTGTGTTCATTGCAATGCAAATACTTTTTCTGTATAAATGTTCTTCTCTAGGTGGCTGAAATGATTTGACTAGATTTCTTTCTGTGGCTCCCATCTGTGCTATTACCTCCCAGAGGAATGTTTGTCATAGTCGTTTGTAACAGTGGCTGCCTTGTTCTGTAGTGATCAGATGATGAAAGCTAAAAATAGAGTTTTGTCTTCCTAGTGAGAAGCAGAGGGAGTGAGGTGTTCCAGAAATGGGTTTTGAAAACAGTTTATCCTTCAGGAATTGTGGGCAGTGGTGTCCTGTATTTTCAGAAATAAAACTTTTTTTAGTCTTTACAGACTTGTTCTCTAGTCTTGTGTCACTGGAGGTGATGGATGTGCCTATCTGTATGGAAACAGCTTTCCCCATGTGATTCTTTGTTGTAGTTACAACGCCTTCTCCACATCCTGCTCTTTGCTTTTACACCTTGGTGCCTCCAGACCCACCTGGTGAGGTTGATAACATCAGCAGTACTCTGCATACTTGTCATCTCTGGTTCCTGGGACTAGAATTTTAGGAATTATTTGCTTCTCTTTGAATTCAGATTTCCTTAATTTTCCTGTATATGTCCGCAAGTAACCACTCCTTAGGTCACTGATAAGCAATTGCCCTTTCAGCAGTAACTTCATTTATCAGTACTGTAGTGGAGCACCACACCTTGATAAAATGCAAGCCTTTCAATCATCTCTTAATTTGCTTTCTACACACTGCAGTACTTCATGTCTTCTCTAGTGACTGCAGGGTAAATTTTGTAGTCCAGTTCCTTCCTTAGACCTTCTCTGTGTCTTGTCAGGCAGGCATACTAACAGTTGATTGCTTGCAGTCTTTGTGCATTAAATGGATGCAGTACTCTGGCTTCTTCAGTGCTTAATGTCTTAAGATCGAATTGGGTCTGTGCGGCGGTGAGAGCAGAAGGCCAAAGGAGGGTTTTATTGCTATTTTCAACTCCCTAATGGGAAGGTGTAGAGAATATGGAGCTAGACTCCTCTTAGAGCTACACGACAGGATAAGAGGTAACAGACAAAAATTGCCATAAAT